GAAATTTTCAAGAAGTCATTTTGTTAAATTCAAAAATTTAAAAACACATGAAATTAGTATCAATATTCAAATCTATATGATCATGTCTCATGGCGACATTTTAACAATACTGTTTTTTTATCAAAACAAAATTAATTTAATAATCGTATCATGTATTAAAACTTTTTTAGATTTTGTGCAAAGTAAGAAATGTATTGAATTTATTATAATGTTTATTTTTTTTGTCTCTAACTGAAATCTTTATATAATCAAAAACTTAATAGAAACTATCCCATTTATTAAATGAGAGAAACTGGAAATTTATAGTATAATTTTTGTATATTTCCGGGTTACTTTGGCAGCAAGGGAAAATCAAAATCATATCTGCTCGAAATCATTTTCCGTTAGCAACAATCGTGTATTATAAATATAAATAAAATTAATATTTATATCCTTCATTTTAATATTCTTTTTAAATTAATGACATACTTATTAGCATTATCGGATTTTTCTTTTTATTCCACTTATATGTTCATCAATACAATACCGACACACGATTATTATAGCAGTGAATAATAAAAACGATCTCCGAGAGAAATTATTCGGGCCGCGGACGAAAATCTTTTTCGTACCCGAGTTTGACGGTGACCATCGGTAGCGTATTGATGCACAACAGCATCTATACTGAAAAAAAAATCGTTAGATAAAATATTATATACAAGTCATTGTATACCGGAGAGTTTATCGTTCGGGGTCGACCTTAACGTCGGTGCACCGGGAAAAATACGTCTTATTTCATCCGGACAAACGTCGCCGGATGTCAAATCCTTATCGGGTCGCCGTAAATTTAGTTTCCCCGTGGGGACGTTTTGTCGCGTAGCGTACCGCACTCCGATGAGAAGGTCAAGGAGTCACGCCCGTTCGACGGTGTTTGACGCGCGTATATTATCGGCCCATGACGGGAAAACATATATCGGGGGCGATACGAATTTAACGAGAGAAAATATATTATTTTGTGAAAATATTAAAAGGTCATGCTACCTCCCGAAATTCAATAGTAAAAACTGTTTTGTTGGGGAAAAAAAACTACTCTGGACATAGACTTAATAGTAAATAAATCGAATCGTCACCAAAGAAAACAAGACAATATGCACTGTTGTGCTACATGCGTTGTTTTTAATATGTTTATATTACAAATACAATAAAAATTATTAATATTTGAAAAAAGAAATTTGATTTTTCACATTTATCTATCTCGAATAACTTATTCTGTAATAATGATATCGACAATCTAAAACCAATGTTCGTGAAAGTTCTAATTGTTTTAGAAACTTTTCGTCATAATGAAATGATTTTTTGTTTCATAAACGTTTTTGTGAACAACAAAATTGATTGTGCTAATGACACGGGACTGTTTGTAAATGTAATTAAAAGTGAATTTGAATATTTTTGAGTTTCATTTGTTCAATAATTTCGAGAAAATCTTCTATACGTAACACCTTAAATACGGGATATAGCACGTCCTCTTAACCGTCTGTTTTGTCGGTTTCCCGAATTCGACGGTATAATAGAACTATATTTTGCCGGATGTAAGTCTGTTTAGTAATTTAATAGTATCAATGGAGAACTTGTATAAAGTAGTGGCTCGTCTGCTGTTCTAAGAACGCCGTATACCACGAAACTCTCCGTTTTACTTCAAATAATTATTGTGCTAGTCTTGTGTATATACATTAAATTATATTCCAATCATGTAGAGCACACGTACAGTCATGAAACAAAAAAAAGAGTATTATACTTTAGTAACTTTAGTATAAAAAAAAAACAGAGGATACGGTTTTCGGATTAATATTCCAAGTTTAGACTTATTCTATAGGTGCGTGTTATAATATTATTAAAATTTGGACGTAAAACGGCGATGTCCTGTTCGAAATACGATTGGGAGACATAATCTATCTGTACTCGCTTGAATGTATACGATAAAATAAGAGTGACACACTAAAAAAGCGGTAATATTAGATTTTGAGGGAAGCGAAGAATGTATTAGTTATACTGTATTTGTTTTCATCTATAAAAAACTTTTTTATCAAAAATCCTGCTCCAATCAAAAACTTTATAAGAACTTTCTTGTAAAATTTTTATCTTGTCGATGAATTGAAGAGATTATTTTATATTTGTCTCGTAGTTTTTTTAATAAATGGAAAAAAACTCCGCAATGTGAGTTGTATAATTTTCGTTGATTTACAGACAATCTAGTTTTCGTAAGTCACGTACAAATATAAATTCAACCGTTCTATGTTATATCCTCCCTTCCAACACTTTCCTAATAAAGCACATAATCAGTCTTTTTTGAAATTATATATGTAAATAACAATAATTATTGTGTTGATGAAAAACTCAGATAAAAATTCGAAATTCGTCCCGTGATACTTTATATTACCTGTACTTTACCATAAAACTATTGATGACGAAAATATCAGTTGTTTTGCTGTTTTCCCTCGAGTATAATACCTAATATATATATTATAGATATATATATAGGTAACAGTTTTGCGGTCGATATGCACTGCACATTATTATTATTATTATACGATTTCACGAGCGAACGATTTGCCGGTCCATCGGCCGACGACCGCATTTGTATATACATACAGGGTAGGTATTACACGATACCATCTCCTCTATCCCTTACATTATGACCCAAATGAGCCGTGGCCGAAGTTGATCGCTTCGGCCTATAGTAATAACCATACCGTGTTATCCGTTGATGTCATTATATTATTATTATTATTATTATTATTATTATTATTAGGTATACCTACGACACTAAACATCGTCGATAGCATACACTGAGAGAGAGAGAGAGATATAAGCGCTTACCGACGTTATATTATTGCTCAAAATCGTTATTATTATTGTTGTTGTTGTTTGGCGATAAAATTATATTTTATTAATAAATGTGACCATATACAAGATATTCGTGTAAACGGGAAGCTTGTGGAAACCATGTAGGTACAAAGAGGGTAGATATTATTGATTCATTTGTGAAATATCAATTTTTTTTTTTATTCCATGAACAATACACATGCAATAATTATTGGATAGTATAAAAATATATAATAATAACAATAATAATAATGTAATATGATTAATATTTGAAATCGTTTCTATAAAGTCTACCGTGATCCACCTTGATTTCTATGCATGTATCAAAAATACAAGATTAATTTCATAAACAATAAGACAGCCGATTGGGTGTTATTACTGACACCAGAAAAGTGGCCGACTTTCCGTATTAAAAAGATACATGTTTGCCTTTTATTGAAAACTGCGGATTAACTATCGATTTACCCGAAATCAAATTACATAAATACCTATTTAGAGAATTTAGTTATAATAAAAATCTGATTTAGTTATATCAAAAAAATTATTTAGTAAAACATAAGAACGTAAAGTATTATTTTACACGCAGAATCACTGGCCAACACTAATATAGAGGTTGGTTAATTTACATATTTTACTGTTTTTACAGCAATGATTCAACTATAGGAATAAATCTGAACAATATACAAAATAATATATGAACTCATTTCTTATCATTAAACAAAAAGGTATTCTCGGAGTTCTCTGATACGAAAAGTCGGTTGTTGACATTTTACACTCAAAGATAATATACAGAGAGTCGTCTATCTATTCGTTTAATAATCGACGGTGTCATCATATACAATACGCGGTTTTGTTTCGGAGACATTGCTATTGCTATTGTTTTTTTTTTTTTTTTTTAAATGTAGGTTTGATAATATACAGACTGATTACAATTTTTTTTTTTTACACAGCTAGGTTTTAATATTTCAGTATGAAAATTCTATATAATATTTGAATGTACGCTGAAATAGTTAATTAGTATACAAATGTCATAGGTTTAAAAATAATATATATTTACGGTGTATTTTAAACATGTATTATTTCTATAGAATATTTTTTTCATTTTTTTTTTTTTCATTTCCTAACAGCAATATGCTATAAATATTGCATGGTGGTTTCGATTGCATTTTTCACCATATACGTGCACAAATTATTATTCATAATAATTATAAAAGTCTGTTATTATGTGCGTAGGATATTATTAATTAACCGTGTTGTATAGGCAAACAATTTAAAGTGCGTTAAATTAAAAAAAAAAAAAAATTAAAAATATAGGTGCGGGGTACATGACACTTCGTATTATGAATTTAATGTTTGGGTGAACAGAAAAAAAAAGTGATTAAAAACACGTGTACATATAACATTATAGTTTATTGTTTCAGACGATGTGTTGTTATCCCTTCATCAGACTATAATTTAAAAAAAAAATGCACACATTGACCATTTTATTAAATTTTCGTTTAAAACATAACGGTGGTGTTATTGTAGACGTGAGTAGTTTTTTTTTAATAAAATAGCTTTCAAGGGTTGTGTAGATAATTTACTGTGAATTAATCCTAATAAATTCAACGTGATGGGAAAATATTTTATCCCGATATTAATTATATAGCTGCCTGAACAAAGAGACGACAAAATCTGACCGATAACAATACAAATATTATTTATTATATTTTATTTACCGAATAAATGTATTAATATTATATTATGTTTCAGACATTACGGTATAGGTTTGAAAAAAAAAAAAAAAAGTAGCTGATACTGTTAATGAATGTGGTAATGTTTTAGGGGGGAAATTGAAAGGTAGGACATTATATTATACGGTGTGATTACGTTTTTGCGTAACACTAAATATATCGGCCGAATGATCTAGGGTTTGAATTCCGTTTTCAGCAAGTATAAGAAATATCGAAAAACGCGTTTTAAGGATATATTTTAGATTTTTTTAATCCTTTCGGTGGGTACGTATGTTGTGTATGTTCATACACTCATATGCGACTGCAATACGAATTACTTGTTTCGAATAGTAATGCATATTTTTGATATAAGATAATGAAAATACTGAAATATATTATAAAATGTATATTTCAGTACCCACATTACACAGTTCAAATCCAAGGCCATCCAGTCGAAATAGTTAATATTATTTAGAAGAGTAATCACATTTTAGATTCATTAAATTTGTATTTGTACCCAACGATAAACAATTGCTAAAGGAGTATGATTCTAAGCAGAGTATTATTAATCGTATTTAATCACTTGTTATCGAGGTAACCCAGAAATCACAAAATTTATCAGTTTTTCTAATTTATTAAGAAAACTAAAAGTGATATAAACAAAAATGACTGCCCTAATGCACTAGAACAAAAGTTCTACAAAAAAGTTCCTATAAAGTTTTTTTATTTGAGCAAGATCACAAACGCACAAAAAAAACACAGTAGATAAAACAAATACATTACTCGTTTTACTCAGAATCTAAAAAATCATTAAATGAAAAAATAATAAATATAATACAGATTGTTTTTTTTTTCATTCCGTTTTTATATCATTTTCGGTCGATGGAAAAGATATTATAAAATTCTTTACCTAAGTATACTTGTATACTTTTTAATTTAATATCGCTATCACGCATACACGCACAACTGAATCGGCACAGTATAATACAACGATGAGAAAATGTAAAAAAAAAAGAGGGGATGAGAAATGTTTAATGCCAACTAACTATACTCGATTACCCCTCGATTTTGTCGGTAAAATTTATAAATATTATAAGACGGTTGGTTTAACCGGCGACTGAATATTAATCGTACATTTTTCATTACGAAATACATAATATAAAACTGTGCTTATTTATACGCCAAACGATAATTGTATACATTATTATTATTATTTTTTTTTGTTGTTGTTGTTGTTTAATACCCACTCCCGAAATGTTCTATACACAATAATAGTAAAGTGGTGCGACGGTTGTGCAATTTATGAACGTCCAATTACCATAAGTTGTTTATATTTAAATTATGTTGAGAATATATAATAACAATGTGCACAACACTATAGAAAGTGTATTGTTTTTTTTTTGTTTTACATTATACAATTTTGATGAAGTATACGTGGTTTGAGAAAAAAGAACCACACCAAATACAATTTGATTTTTTAAAATACCACCACAACTGTAAGGTCCGGGGTCCTGCTGTATTATTGTGCTTTCCATTTTGTTTTTCTAATTTAATAGTAAGTAAAAAAAGTATATAATATTATATTACATGATTTGTCTCGAAGAAATTCGATTTAAATAAATGTACAAAATGAAAATACAGTTAAAAAAAAAAAACTTATATCTATATTTAATGTTTGTTCAAAATTACATAATAAATTCTACTGCAGATATAAATTGTAGAATAGTGTAAGCCGAACAGATGATTTTCGAAAGTAATAAAAAAAAAATCTATTCACCGTTCATCTATTACGTCAGAAAATCACTTTAAAAAAAACGATATGAAATATGTAGGATTGAATGGGGACAGATCGATGGACATAACTGAAAGCTGATAGAAGTGGTATAGATAGAAGCTGATAGATAGCAACGCTCAAAACTTTTGGTAGCAAAAGGTGTTGAAAATGTTCTAGACAGAACGAGTGTCATATAAAGAAGACATTTAGCATAAGGTAATCGAAAGGAGACTGATACGGACGACAATCATAGAAAGAAGAAATAAATTGATAGAACAACATAATATAAATATCCATAATAAACAAAGGTAACATTTATAAGTCAAAGAACAAATAGAAGGGAAGAAGGAAAACTGAAGGAAGAAGATCAGGACAGTAACGCATTAAGTATTCTGGATTTGTAGGGGAAGTTGATACGGAAATTGAGGAGAGCATAAACCATACATCGTTGAACCGATCGACGGGTTATTAAAAACTAATGCCAACGTAGTCATACATAAATATAAATATGATCTGTTTCTTTAAGCATAAGGTTATGACGGAATAGAAAGTTATTATAGTGCAGTCAAAATAAATTTAAAAGTATTTCATAAAATATAAATTGCGATTCAATTGATTTGTTACAGACAATGAAAATATAGAAATACATACACAATATAAAAATAGATGGTTCTGCAAACGTTATAAATGGCGATACATCGAACGCCAGCTTTTACTAAAATATCAATAAAACTACAGAAAATAACCATTTTATAGAATGTCATTTTAATTGCATTTTTTATATTTATTATACCACAATGGATATTTTTCACTTATACACATTACCTAAAAAGTCGGCATATAATTAAAATAGTTGGGACTTGGACAACAACGAATGACTTCACAAAGGAGTTTCAGTATATTTTTTGCATCACATATATCATATTCAGGGGCGGAGTGAGAACAAAATTCAAGCTGGTAGATTAAATTATTTTATCCAGGCGTTTTTTTATCGCGTTTTAATTTGAATCAATTGTGAAACCAGGATTTTGATACGAGGGGAGCTAAATACGTTTATACTTGAGACATGGGCAAAAATAAGACCAAGGGGGGAGGGAGATTTCAAACTCAAGCGGATTTAGAAATACTTTTCCATCAATATGCATTAAAACGTAATACTTTAAACGAAAATGTATATTAAAAAAAATCTCAATAGGTAGGTTTACTGAAATAAGAATATAATAACATTATAATAATATGTATCTCGGCATAACTTTTTACCAAATGTTTAATTAATACAAGTGATTAAAATATAAAAACATATTATAATATCAGATCATCGGAAAAAATTCCCATTTCCAGCCACATCGCGCCCGACCATATTTTGCTCTCTAATAATTATATTATGTTCTCGAACGCGAGTAAAACTTTTTCGGGATTAACAGTCGGTAATTTAAGAAGGTTTTTCGATTAGATACGTCTTATTATTTCGTTATGATATTACGATGTTGTGTTACATCGTTTATTTTATGCGGAATTAAAACGGGTACCAGATAAACGGCACGCGATCGATATTCAGAGCCAGAGGTGACGGGACGATATTGCAGAATCGCGCGGACTTTTGCGGGGTACGGTAGGTGGCGACCGGAGACGAGATATTTAAAATATGTTAACAATTCTATAACCGTTTTACAGACAATTTACACGCGTATTATATTACGTATATAGCCGCGAATAGCTTCGGCGTTTAGCGAGCGGGCGTATCATTCGGCGGCATTATTTTATTATTAACTCGTATACGTGCACGCGTGTTTGCGGCTCGTGCATAATAATATTATTTATATTATACGCATAGCATATTACGGAGAGGATAATAATAATAATATGTATAATACGACATGACGAATTTAAACGCGGTCCGCAACAACCGCGACGTACGGTAATATTAATAATAACTATTACTATTATCAAAACTATACAAATGATAACGTTAAACATAATATTTGCGTGCGCCGCGTGTTACGTCGACGGCGCGGGAATTTCGGGCGTTTTATCGGCACTGCGGCGCGTGGTCAACGCGCCCGAATCCGCAGCGGTCGCGTATTATTTCGCCTTTGTCCGGTGTTAACGGCCCGCTGCACAAACCGTAGAAAAAACCGAAATAAAACGACGCCGTTTAGACAGACAGCAGCGTATAGAGATTGTTGTCGCGGATCGGCGTCTCGAATTTATATATACGCGCGTTGAAGTTAAAACCCGATACCAGTGTTTCAGAAAAAAAAAATAATAATAATAATATAAATAACAAATGGATTTTTTTTTGTTTTAAACGTGTTTTTAGGTTTGTTCTGAGGCGATCGAAAGCGTCAATTTATTAAGGGGGTAGTGTTTAGGTGATTTCTAATCACGCCGCTCCCGCCAGTTGTTCTTTGTAAATAGCGTATAATAATAATAATACAGTTTATTATAAATATAATTTTATCGTAATTATTTAAAAACAAAATAACAATTGGAGAAACGGTACTTTTCTTTCCGAACGTAATAATAAAAGCTATTAATTTGCATTTAATTTTTGTTTAGAGACGTTTTGGAAATGTACCAACAATAAATGTCGAATATATCATTATAGGGACTTGTTTGCCATCCCGTCAAAGAACCGTTCTTTATACAAACGATAGGCCTTTGGAAAAACTGTGTTTACAATCGATACTAGAAACATTTTTTTGAAATCTTTCTTCACCGTTGTTGGTATTTTCAACGTGTTTATTCGTTTTAAACGTGACGTTTATTTTCGTTCGTACCTATATTGTACAACAGTGGTGACTAATCTTTTTTTACAGAAGGGCCATAAAAAAAAAAAACAATAATTCTTGATGGGCCGAGAATTTTAACTTTTACTTTGAAGTTAATAGAATATTGTATTTAATTGTAAGTACATCTTAATATATAGGTACAGTGATGTATTCAATTATTTATTATGTTTTGGTAGTTATAAATGAGAAAAAAAAATGTAAAGTGTAAAAATGTCTTTTTTATTATTCATTGAGAGTGTTAATTTTTGAAATTTGAAGTTGTTTTTTTTTTTCAATTTTTGGTTTTACTTGGTGGGCCGATTAATAAAATATGATCGCGGGCTGGATTTCGCCATGGTCGCTCACCACTGTTGTACAAAAACGGAGTTTAAAACGTCAATCGTCGCCGTCGAGCGAAGATATAAAGAAAATAGACAACGATATTGCATTCGCGTAACAATAAACACGATCAGCAATAAAAGTAGCGGAAAAATCGGCGTGTCTATAGAAATAATAATACGATATCGCGTATACAATAATATAATATACATTGGGTATATTAAACTCAAACACGACATCGGGTAAACGTATAAACACGGATATTATTGCGAGTTTGCGGGTATACTTATCGGCGAGACGGTAAACTGGCGCGTAATACGGGGGCCAACGTTGTTGTTCCGCGGGATAACGTCTAAGCTACACGCGCGCGCCGCGGAAAACTAATCTATAAGTATTTATTTGTTTAGGGGACGATTCGATAAAAGTCTCGGGCGATGTACAATACTACGTCTATGTATTTATAAAGCAGCCGAAAAGTTCCCCGAGCGGCGAAAATATTATAGCGGTCTTTCTTCGTGTTTAAGGGTGGGTGGGAGGGAAGGGGGGTTGGGTTAAGAGGAGAATAAAATACGAAATAAAAACGGGGAGGAAAAAAATAAAACTGCACGCTTAATGTTTCCCAGATAAAAGTTGTTACTGTTCCGTATAATCGTAAACACGCGTAAAAATTTATCACGATAAGCCCTCCCCGGGGTTCGGATATAATATCATATACCTATATATAGGTACTCGCAGTGTAATGTAAAGAAAGGATTCGAATAACTTTCGATTTTTCGCGCGCGAAATGGGTTTTCCGTACGCGCGTCTTTGGGTGTATATATATATGTATTATAGGTACCCCCGTGTTACAATCAAAAGTTATTCGCG